TACGAAAATCAATAAACGTAATAAACCACATTAACAGAAGCAAAGAAAAACACTTGATCATCTCAATAGATGCAGAAAAAGCCTTTGATAAGATCCAACACCATTTCATGATAAAAGCTCTAAGAAAACTAGGAATAGAAGGAAAGTCCTCAACATTATAAAAGCTATATATGACAAACCTACAGCCAGCATTATACTTAACGGAGAAAAACTGAAACCATTCCCTCTAAAATCAGGAACCAGACAAGGATGCCCACTATCTCCACTCCTATTCAACATAGTACTGGAATTCCTAGCCAGAGCAATTAGGCAAGAAGAAGGAATAAAAGGAATACAAATAGGTAAAGAAACTGTCAAAATATCCCTATTTGCAGATGACATGATCCTATACCTTAAAGACCCAAAAAACTCTACTCAGAAGCTTCTAGACATCATCAATAGCTATAGCAAGGTAGCAGGATATAAAATCAACATAGAAAAATCATTAGCATTTCTATACACTAACAATGAGCAAACTGAAAAAGAATGTATGAAAACAATTCCATTTACAATAGCCTCAAAAAAAATCAAATACCTAGGTGTAAACCTAACAAAAGATGTGAAAGACCTCTACAAGGAAAACTATACACTTCTGAAGAAAGAGATTGAGGAAGACTATAGAAAGTGGAGAGATCTCCCATGCTCATGGATTGGTAGAATCAACATAGTAAAATGTCTATACTCCCAAAAGTAATCTACATGTTTAATGCAATTCCCATCAAAATTCCAATGACATTCATTAAAGAGATTGAAAAATCTACTTAAATTTATATGGAAACACAAGGGCCACGAATAGCCAAGGCAATACTCAGTCAAAAGAACAATGCTGGAGGTATCACAATACCTGACTTCAAACTATATTCAAAGCAATAACAATAAAAACAGCATGGTACTGGCACAAAACAGACATGAAGACCAGTGGAACAGAATAGAGGACCCAGATATGAAGCCACACAACTATAACCAACTTGTCTTTGACAAAGGAGCTAAAAATATACGATGGAGAAATAGCAGCCTCTTCAACAAAAACTGCTGGGAAAACTGGTTAGCTGTCTGCAAAAAACTGAAACTAGATCCATGTATATCACCCTACACCAAGATTAACTCAAAATGGATCAAGGATCTTAATATCAAACCACAAACTCTAAAGTTGATACAGGAAAGAGTAGGAAATACTCTGGAGTTAGTAGGTATAGGTAAGAACTTTCTCAAAAGTTCTCGAAACCCCAGCAGCATAGCAACTAAGAGATAGCATAGATAAATGGGACTCATAAAACTAAAAACCTTCTGTTCATCAAAAGAAATGGTCTCTAAACTGAAGAGAACACCCACAGAGTGGGAGAAAATATTTGCCACTATACATCAGACAAGGACTGATAACCAGAATATAGGGAACTTAAAAAACTAAATTCTCCCAAAACTAATGAACCAATAAAGAAATGGGCAAGTGAACTAAACAGAACTTTCTCAAAAGAAGAAATTCAAATGGCCAAAAAACACATGAAAAAATGCTCACCATCTCTAGCAATAAAGGAAATGCAAATTAAAACCACACTAAGATTCCACCTCACCCCTGTTAGAATAGCCATCATAGCAACACCACCAACAACAGGTGTTGGCGAGGATGCGGGGAAAAAGGAACCCTCTTACACTGTTGGTGGGAATGTAAACTAGTACAACCACTCTGGAAAAAAATTTGGAGGCTACTTAAAAAGCTAAACATTGATCTACCATTTGATCCAGCAATACCACTCTTGGGGATATACCCAAAAGACTGTGACACAGGTTACTCCAGAGGCACCTGCACACCCATGTTTATTGCGGCACTATTCACAATAGCCAAGTTATGGAAACAGCCAAGATGCCCCACCACTGACGAATGGATTAAGAAAATGTGGTATCTATACACAATGGAATTTTTGCAGCCATGAAGAAGAACGAAATGTTATCATTCGCTGGTAAATGGATGGAATTGGAGAACATCATTCTGAGTGAGGTTAGCCTGGCCCAAAAGACCAAAAATCGTATGTTCTCCCTCATATGGGACATTAGATCAAGGGCAAACACAACAAGGGGATTGGACTTTGAGCACATGATAAAAGCGAGAGCACACAAGGGAGGGGTGAGGATAGGTAAGACACCTAAAAAATTAGCTAGCATTTGTTGCCCTCAACGCAGAGAAACTAAAGCAGATACCTTAAAAGCAACTGAGGCCAATAGGAAAGGGGACCAGGAACTAGAGAAAAGGTTAGATCAAAAAGAATTAACCTAGAAGGTAACACCACGCACAGGAAATCAATGTGAGTCAACCTGTATAGCTATCCTTATCTCAACCAGCAAAAACCCTTGTTCCTTCCTATTATTGCTTATACTCTCTCTTCAACAAAATTAGAGATAAGGGCAAAATAGTTTCTGCGGTATGAGGGGGTGGGGGAGAGGAGGGGGTGGGTGGGTGGTAAGGGAGGGGGTGGGGGCAGGGGGGAGAAATGACCCAAGCTTGTATGCACATGAATAATAAAAAAATTTAAAAAATTAAAAACAACAACAACAACAAAACCAAACTCAGATTAGCAGGGGCGCTGGTGGGGGATGGCTCATGCCTGTAATCCTAGTTACTCAGGAGGCAGAGATCAGGAGAGCACAGTTCAGATCCAGCCCTGGGCAAACAGTTCTTGAGACCCTATCTTGAAAAAACCCATCACAAAAAAAGGCTGGTGGACTGGCTCAAGGTGTAGGCCTGAGTCAAAAACCCCATCTACCAAACAAGCAAGATAAGAATGGAGGGAACGAGGCTGGGGATTTGAGCTTAGCACTCTACCGCTAAGGCACAAAGCCCTGGATTCAGTCCCCAGCACTGAGAGAAAACAACCAACCAACCCTCTCTGACACATAGCTAATACTTCACTAGGATTGTGGCACATGCCTAACATCCCGGTATTTGAGAGACTGAGGCAGGAGGCTCATGAGTTCAAGGCCATCCTGGGCTACATAGGGAGACCCTGTCTCCAAAAAAAACACACAGACACACATAGAGAAAAGAAATAAGGAATGATAGGCAAAGAGGCAAAATGGTATCCTGCCATTAAAGGCTACTTTAACACGAACATCCTTTCAAATGGTTAAATCTGTTCTAATTTCACTTAAATAGAGCTAAAGCAGACACACGACTGTAAAGAATCTCCGAACTCTCAAATTCACGGATATCACGTGTACTGTGTTGAAAACGTTATGTAAAGAAGGAAAACAACACAATGAAGCAAGAGTGAAGTGGCCTACGTTTGCTTACTGTGCAACTCAAAAGAAGGGATTTATTCATTCCTCACGGGGCTGGAGAAGTGGATCAAGCAGTAGAGCACCTGCCTAGCAAGTGTGAGTGAAGCTCTGAGTTCAAACCCCAGTGCCACCAAAAAAAAAAAAAAAATTTCTCAGCAAACTTAAGTCTAGACCATGAAATCGAAGACTGGGGGCATAGATCAATCGGTAGAGCTCCTGCCTAGCAAGTATGAGGCCCTGAGTTCAAACCCCAGAACCACCAAGAGAAAAAAGAACACAAGTCTTCCCACCCAAAATAACCCAAACCTCATTCACATGAAACTACGTAATGTGCACAACGTTCAACAGTGCAAACACTTAACAAAAGTAGTAAAGGTATATTAGCTTTTCATCAAGAAAACAAATCTGGAACCAGGTGTGGTGGCACAAGCCTGTAATTTCAGCATTCAGGAGGTCTGAGGAGGAGGATTGCAAGTTCAAGGCCAGCCTGAGCTACATAGTGAGACCCTACCTTTTCTTTTTTTGGGGGAGGGGTTATACTTGGGGGGAGGGAGGTGTTGATCTCAGGGCCTCACCCTTGCTAGGCAGGTGCTCTATCACTTGAGCCACTCTTGCCAGCCAAATCCGATCTAAATCAATAAATAAATAATAAAAGATCAGTTCAGTGGTTAAATGAAAGTGCCATTTAATACAGTAAGTTATGTGGTAAGATGTGGGTGAAACTGAATACAGTTAACAATGGCACCCCACTGAAAAGATCTGGGGGGTGGGGGACCAGACGGATGATTAAACCGCATTCTAGTGTCCCCAAGAACAGGGTGAGACTTATGTAGAAGACACTATATCTCTCTTCAGAGCAGGGTCCTTGAATCCACTCTGAACAGTAAGCCTTTGAACCACAGAAAACATGCAGCCACAGGAAGCAGGGTGATGCACTGGAACAGATGCTTCCTTTTCTGCCAAGCAACTGAGCGTCAAACCTGATGTCACACTGTAGTGATAAAATGTTCATAGAATTTAACACATTTACCTTCCTTTTTCTGAGAGTCTGACTAGTCTATACTATAAACCATAATTATTTAATAGTTCTCTCCATAGTTACCTAAAATTATTCTTAGACTAGGGTTGGGGAGAGAGGAGAAGCTTGGCTCAGCAATTCTCTGCTGGGCCTTAGCTTCCTCCTCCGTCAGTGGTTATAAAACTATCTCAGCTGCATATACCCAGTTATTACTTCAAGAAACAAAATGAGGCAACAGAAATAAAACAACTGCCCCAAAACCTCTCAAGGTGACCCAGAGTGAACATTTTTTCTCATACCTGCCCAGAGATCTGCAACGCGCTGAACAATACTGGTAGGATTCCCCCTATCTCAATTAACCCTTCCAAGTCTACAAACATACTGTATAAAAATCAGATTTCACATCCGCAGAAAGAGTTTAACACACTGTTAAAGGAACTCATAATGGGAAAATGAGGGAAGCAAACTATTGTTAAAATAAGGCACTGCCTGGTAATAGTAACAGGTGTGTCCAAGCATGGCCATAGGCAGAATCAAGAAATCTCTATAGTTAAGTCTGTCTTGCAAAGCTGGAACCTATAATCTTTATATTCTGAATAAAAAGTGGAACTGTAAACTAAAACAGCATGTGTTGGAAGTGGAAAAGGAAAAGATTTAGAGAAGTAAATACCTTTGCTTCTTAGAAAATCTTCAGGGAGGTCCGGATATAAAAGTTCTTTGCTGGACTGCACCAGGAGGTCCTCCTACAGTAAGAAAATCCAGCAGTCAAGGGAGGATTCAGATATCTGACCTTATGAGTATTAGTCATTCTTTGAGAAATTTCATTAGGACTCCAGGAAATTTGCTAGTAGTCACAAGGAAACCTCAAATTTAAGTAAAATCAGTAACAACTTTTACTTTTTTACCATTTGAGCTTGAAAATTCAAGGATTAGATAATAGGAGTTTAAAATATCAACCTGCAGATACAAACAAAATCCTAAATTCCAAAGCCTCTGAATCAAGAAACAAATAACCAGCTCAGGCAGTAGAGCCTTGAACAAGTTCCAGTACTGCCAAAACAACAAAAAATCCAAAATAACAACGAATCGTCAATGAAATACTCTCTCTCGTATTACTAACGTACAATTAAAAAATAAAACTAAAAAATAAAAGAGAAACAGATCACTGCAAATTAATGTTATGGTGAAGGAACTTATCAGGAAATCACCTGTCCCATCTCTAACATTCTAGGTATCGTTTAATGTATTGCCTCCAAAATTTTTTAGAATAGTTATTTTTGCCCCCTTTCATCAGAAGGCGGAGCAGAAGAATATCATCAACGACAGAAAAAAGGAAAAGAGCTGTATCCATCATGGCAACTGTCTTACACTCCAAGGGTGAAGGCTCTATAGCGGTAAGCATCCCAATCTGGAATGCTTGGGACCACAAGTGTTCAGCTTTTGGAATTTTGTATTTTTGACAGGACTGGGGTTTGAACTCAGGGCCTCACATGTTGGTAGGCAGATGCTCTATCATTTAGCCACTCCACCAGCCCAGACTTTGAACATTGCACAGAATGAGATATGGTTGGCAGATAGGGTCCCAAACTAAACACAAAATTAGTTTTCATACAGATCTTATACACATACACCAGAATGAATTTTATTCAAGATTTTCAGGCACCTTTTTATTAGCATATATTAATTATACAAAGTAAGGGACACATGAGGTCGTATGGATTTTTTTTTTTGTGAAACTGGGATTTGAACTCAGGACTCCATACTTGCAAAGCCAGTGCTCTACCACGTGAGCCACACCTTCAGTCCATTTCGCTCTAATTATTTTGTTGGAGATGGGGGTCTCATGAACTATTTGCCCAGGCTGGCCTTGAACTGCAATCTTTCCAATCTCAGCCTCCCAAATAGACAGGATTATAGGTGTCAGCCACTGGCAGCCGGCTATGTGTAGAATTTTTTACTTGAAGCAGCACACTGGTGCTCCCAAAATTTTGGATTCTAAAGCATTTAGACCTTAGATTTTCAAATAAATGATGCTGAACTTTTATCAATCGGGGTTTACTGGCTGGGAGACTCTGGCCAATCAAAGATGACTTCACAGTAAACTTTGCTTCTGGGTCACCTC